ATTTAAATCTTGTACTGCAATTTGCATGTAAGATTCTGTAGCTAGTATGGAAAAATTCACACATAAGAATTTAGAACCAAACTATCCATATTAACATTAATAAATTAAAAATAAAAAAACCAGCAACAAGAAAATCAAAACAAACGATCAACCACAGAGAAGAAACTTGTTTAAAGAACCTGCAGGAAAAAATAGCTTCAGAGTGGATGATAAATTCACAGAGCAGATAAAGCAGCACATAAGGAATCCACGTCTGCTAGACCAAGGCTTTGAATTAACTTTAGAAGATGGAGCCAGGAAGCAGCAAAGAGGATAAAATGAACCATGTGTCCTGAAATAATTAGATAATTCTCTGACAAAGCCCACACATTTTGGCTGGTTCAGGCCTGTTTCATGGCTGGCTCCCTGTGTTCCAATGTCCCTCACTCTGGTCTAAGTTCCTCTGCAACCACAAGCAGATGTTCTCTAGACTAAAATTCAGTGCAAAACAGAGAAAACAAGTTGTATTGAAGGTTTTAAACAACTAGTGGGGTCATTAACAATCTGCCCAGAGTTGATGATGCTTTGGAGACACTTTGAGTGCAGACACATAAGTATGAAGTAGGAAGGAGGAACCATTTTATAGATCTAAATAGATCACAGACTGTGCTCTTAAAACATCTCTGCACGTTCATGGGGGAAAACGCAAGGAAAACAGCGTATCTAGGTGATTATTTCTCAACATGTTGTACTCTTAAAAATGTTCATTTGTCATTGAGATGATTTATTGTGTTCTTCACTTGGAGCTATTGTCAGTCCACAAGAGCTGTTTCACTAATTTACAACAGTGTCAAATCAAAGTTTTACAGATCTGTTATTTTATCCAGATTATTTTTAGTGCAGGTGTTTTGCTTACACAGAAGGAAGCAGCAATATATTGTGATCAAAGAGGACTTGAAAGTCCAGAGTGCCAATGCCAGCTCTCCATCAGGTGCTAGCTGACTCATTGGCTTTTAATGTGTAACTAAGGGCTAGCAATAGAGGTAGCAGCTGATAAGACTGTCTCACTGAAGTTATCAGGAATGAACAAATGTTGGCCTAATGAATACTGATGCTGACTCAGTTAATGCTGCTAAAGCATTAGAAAATATTAATAAAAAAGTGTAGGGAATGTTACGATGTATTAACATCTCTCTCATTTCTGTGGATTAAATCGCTGTAGACCTACGGGAGTTGAGTGGTATTTTGAGGGGCTGAGCGGTGTTTTGAGGGGTTCAGCGGTGTTTTGAGGAGCTGAGCGGTATTTTGAGGGGCTGAGCAGTGTTTTGAGGGGCTGAGCGGTGTTTTGAGGGGCTGAGCGGTGTTTTGAGGGGTTCAGCGGTGTTTTGAGGGGCTGAGCGGTGTTTTGAGGGGTTCAGCGGTGTTTTGAGGGGCTGAGAGGTGTTTTGAAGGGTTCAGCGGTGTTTTGAGGGGTTCAGCGGTGTTTTGAGGGCCTGAG